GCTAATTGTTCTTATACCTGCTGTAGTTTTTTTTTGTTTTGCTTTTTTGTTTGTTTTGTTTTATTTTGTCATTTCCAACTTGTCTTGTCATTTCCAACTTGCTGGCAAACAGCCATTGGTCTGTTTTAATAATGTCAGGTTTTCTTGATACCTTTGCTGCAGCTAACTTATTACATATGGAGAGTTTAATATATTACTTGTTGCTTTTAGTCCCAAAACTTAATTAGCATCTCATATATCTATGTTCCATCCCATGGAATCCCATGCAGCAAGATAAGAATACTGGCAATATAAGTAGCTAAATGCAAAGTATTTATCTTTTGTGACATGCAATAATAGTAAGAGTAGTATAAGTAGAAGAAATAATAATAATAATAGGCAATTTATACAATATTAATGTTTATTTATTTTCTAATCCTCATTAAAATTATTTAAAGATTGATTTTTGGAGTGCTGTACTTGCTCAAATGCCTTAAATATTTCTTGCAACAAATAAAGTTATACACAATTCCTAAAAATGTAGTAATTGTCCAAATTAAACAGGAAAAATTCATCATTTATTACACTATATTATAGCTTGGAAGTGCCCATAAAAATTCCTCAAGCTATATGCAATGTAAATATTTTTACCTCCTTTTTTCTTAGATCAGCATTTTATATATATATAACAATAAACAATTCGAATGTTTTAAATTATCTTCGAAAATGATACTATTATTGGGTCACCACTAAGTAATTAAATTTGATTTGTATCTACATTAATTAATTAACCTTAACATTTCCCAGAACATTTAAGCTAATAATAGATCTTGGAAGACCAGATTGTATTTTGTTATAATTATTTCCACTAAACTAGCATCATTAGAGAATAAACATCAGCCGCGCTTCACATGTGTGGGTAACATCTCCAACCACAAATCACATCAGTGCATTCTTAATTTGCTTTTCTCATTAGTTATTAACATTAGACAGAATTCCCTACTGAAAGTTAACACTGTTTGGCATGGGTTTGCACTTCGTCATTGACTGAGCTCATACAAAAGCATGAGCTTTTCATTACATTCCTTAAGTGGACTTTTACAGTTTAGTTTTAAGAGTTTTCTGATAATACATTTTATTAGATATTATAATAACAATTATTACTTTTAAGTACCTATATCTGATGATACATCTGATCTTAGAAAAGGTCAATATGAAATAATTCAAATCATTTATACAAGAATATGAATGAGTAGGTACAGACATGATTCCATCAAATATTTAAATGGCATCTTCAACACTTAAAAGAAAATCAAACCATTAGGAGGCCTTAGTGTGTTCACTACAAATAGAAATGTTGGTACTTAGAGTTGAGGAGAGGGCTTAGTTGGCAAAATGCCTGCCACACAAGTGTGAAGACTTAAGGTTGGATCCCTAGCAGGCATGTAAAAAGAAAATGAGTGGAACTGCATATCTGAAGCTCCAGAATTAGGAAGCCAGACAGCCAGACAAGAGAGTCTTTGAAGTCCATTTTACATTTTACAGTCAGATTGGACAGTTGGTGAGGTCCAGGTTCAGGGAGAGAGTCTGTCTCAAAAGATAGAGTGAAGGAAGTCTGAGGGAGACCAATGTTAACATCTGGTCTCTACAAGCATATTCACACAATGCACCCCCCCACCGTGAGTGTGTGTGTGTGTGTGTGTGTGTGTGTGATACATTCCCAATAAAAGCTACTGAATATTGAGGTAACAATATAATGTCAGACTGAATTACATTATCAGATTTGTCCTACATTTATGTAGATGTGGTTCTATATAATTAAAATACCACTGCTGTTATTACTACATTCTATATGTACATCTAAAACCTTTATTCACAGAAAAGCAATGTGCAAATAAAACAGATGATGATTAAGATATCTTCAGTTCTAGAAATCAAACAATCAATAAAAGTATAGTGCCTCTGTCTCTACCCCAGATCGGACTGGACCTTATTCAACCATGGTTAATGGACCTTTGAAATTAGATAACCTTTAAGTCTAAGTTTTGCTATCAATCTCTCTGTGGTGCCTTGAAAAGAATAATAAATTTAGGCTTTTGCGTAGTGTTGAACAAACAAAAACATTTTTCAAAGTACTCAATGAAACTCTCTTGTGTCAACAGCACTGTCTGTGTACTGTAGGTTTTTCGAAGAAAGCCATCTCTCTCAAAATTAACTGTGTAATTGGGTAAGCTAGAAGCTCTCCCTTAACAACAACCTAGGCTGAGTGCACACATCCAACTTCATTACACGAAAAGAACATCTCTTTACTCTGTATCTAATGTGTGGAGCTAGCTTTAGAGAATATCACCTAAGGAAAAGAGATCCAGTACAAAAAGAAGACAAGAAAAACTAATATTTCTAAACATCTGAGTAGCCAATGCAGCTACATATTTTTAATAATGTTGTTTTTTCTATGTTGCATTTAAGTTCTTGGTACTTATCTCAAGGCTGAGTCTTAGTCACACAAAGAAATGTGTAGAGCCAATGTACACCAGCAGATTTCTAGTAGCAATGAAATTCTACAAAGTCAAGCTAAAACCTTTTTAAGACTAAAGTGCTAGGAATGTAGGGCTGCAATTTCATTCTACCAATTAAAAAATGCTTTTCTATTTCATAACATTTTTCATTTCACTGTAGAGAATATACTACAGTAAGAATTTTATACACTGGTGGTTGAACTAGAAAATCTGGGGACTGCAAAGAGAGAGTCACACAGGCCTGAGGACCTGAATTTGATTTTTTTTAGCATTCTGTAAAAATTCAGCTTGCCAATATGCAATTGTGATCAGAGCACTGGGGAAGGGGAATCAGGCAGATCCTTGGGAACATACTTGCTGTTCAGCCAGCTGACCTATGAGTTCCTCAAACAGTGAACCACAGATGTGTGAGACACATCTAGTTTCAGAAAACTAGATAGAATGCTTCTGAAGAATGACACCCATTGCTGGTCTCTGTAACACACACACACACACACACACACACACACACACACACGCATATGCATGCACACATATACACAAAGGAATAAAATGGTACCAATTATTATGAAGGCTCAACAGTTCCACCAGTTTTTACAAATTTTCAAAGGAAACAAGTTCGTAAAGATGATATTTGGCCATAGTCCTCCCTTAGCAAGAATAAGATTAATGTAATTGCACGGAATGAATGTTTTAATGAAGCTTGGCAGAATGTTATTCCATCAAATTACTGTTAGTCAGAACTTTTGAGAACTTCTTCCACTTATGCCACCAAATGATCTATGCCTTGGTAAAAAAAAAAAAAACCTTAGGTAACACAGTTGATGGAACAAGGTGCTTTTTTCCTTAAGAGAAAGCATCCCAGGTCCGCAAATGAACAAAACACTCACCAGTTTTGACATAGTTAAGTGTTACCTTTGGAGATCATTAAATTTTTACAGGGATGACAAGTGCTGTCTATAAGTGAAGTTATTAGAAAATGTAGTGGGTGAAAATGGCAAATGGAAAAATGAAACAGATGTGTGGTAATCTGGACAAAATCATAGTCAATTCAAGTCCCCGGAAGAAGTTTTTCTTGAGTGTGTAAGGCACATTGCTACTGTATTCTATTTCCATAAAATACACTTACCAATAAAACACATCTCAGTAGGTAGAATCTTAACATAAAACAGATATTAATACAAACACAGAACACCTCCATACACTACAGAATGATGAGCATAATTGCTTATTTTTTAATCTCAATATATAATTGAACTCAAGAACCACTCGTCTCCATTGAACAACATCAAAGAAACCTAAGGACCCCAGGAAGCCCAAGGGAAACCTGCTCCCTCTACCCATCCCTGTATCTTCGCTTTCTTATTTTGCAGATTCTGTAGTAGGAGTGTCATTCTTGGTGAACATATACTTGCTGTTTGAATATATTACCTACCAGTAACATAAACTTCAACCAGTTTTAGAGTTCATTGCATGGAACATATTTTTCTTTCCTTAATTTCCTAAATTACCAATGCTTTAATCAACATTGTTATTAATGAAAATGTCATTTGATGTAGTGAAGACATTACCATGTCCTCTCTTTTGTCCTCCCCTTTATCCATCCCTTCTTCCTTCCCTCCTTCATTTTTAATCCTGTCTTTTTCACAATTTACTCTGGGGGGCTGAATACAAAACTGTCTTCTCTGCTAGGTAGAAGCCTTGCTCTCGCAATAGCAGCTCTTGATAGAACAATCATTTGATAATTGGCTACTCAGTGTTATAGAAGGCATTGTGACATTGCAAAGCACTAATAAGAAAGAGGAAAGAGACTGTTGTTTGTCAGTCCATTGTCTGTGGACACTTCTCATCTATAATAATGCTTGGTAGGAATCATCTTGTTTCTGTCTCTATTTTGTATCACTAGGGTAAAAAAGGTTTGCGTAATCACGTAAAAAACCAGACTGTGAAATAAATAAGTTGGGAAATAAATAAAAAATAATTGGCATTCACTAGAAGAAGCAGTACTGATCATATGCCATCATTCAACATTAGCCTACAATGTATTATCATATATTCTCATGATACACAATACCAAATAAAAGTTACTGAAACATTCAGTCAACCCTGGTAGCCAAGATATTCTCAGAGGTGTTTCATTTTTAGGTTTTTCCATATTTGTACACAGCAATGGATTTAGCAAGTTTTTTGATGTATTAAAACTTGTTCTCAGTATTAAATTACTCTACAGGATGCACAACAAAATAAAATTCTTCAACTCATCTTAAGTAATCTACTAAATTGTGTTACAGATTCGTTTTATCATGCTCTACAATGTACACAAAATATGTACAAGGGCAAAACTAAAAAAATGAAATTAAGATCTTGTATATTGTGCATACTGAAAAGAAACACCTATGAGATATCTATTACTTCATAACTATGTTTCCTTAAGTTCCATTTTTTGAAACAAGGGATGCTCACATGCACAGAAATATTCACACACACACACAAGTAACTTACACAATTTCATCGTTCTGGAATTCGAGCTCTCCACACGTGTCCTCGAAGTCCTCCCCTCCACCTCGGGCCGTCCCTTCAATGGTTTTATAGGGAACGATAACATTTCCTCTAGCTCCGGATGTTCTCAAAACTTTTACCTCCATGATGCCAATGCTCTCGCTCACGTGAGTCACTGGTTCCTCAAATGTAAAGATGCCTGCATGGTCATCATCAAAAATGGTTACCGTGGCCGTGCAGGGTGACCCAAGACAAGCAAGTGTAGAAATATGATTGGCTTCCAGGATGCCCTCTTCTGAAGCTTCAGAGGAGACTCTGACATTGCTTAGATGCACAAGGAAGTTTTCATCCTCTTCAAAGATGTCATCATCAATAATGCCAACTCTGATCTCCTTTTGGATCTCCCCGGGTTTGAAGATCACAGTCCCTTCAGTGAACTCATAATCAGACCCAGCATTGGCTGTGCCGTCCTCCGTTCTGAAGTCAACGAACACAGTGTTGGTCAAGTCGCCCCCTCTGCGGATAATGGTTAGAGCCACAGTACCACAGTTCTCTAGACATTGGTATGTTCCCTGTTCAAAGAAGACCTTACTCACTGGGTCATTTTCAGCCACTTCTATGTTGACTTCATGCATGCTGACAGCCTTCCTTGCTTGGTCAGCTGCATGCCTCTTCAAGATGTTGCCGGCTCCAGTCATCAGGCGAGTAGCTTGAATACGGTAAAATGCTCGGCTTTTTTGCTGCTGACTTAGGACTTGATAGTTGGCTAATTCTATTAATTGCTCAATTTCTTTCTCTGGATGCTTCTGCTTAAGTTCCTTCAGTATCCTTGCCATCTCACGCCTAGCTTCCTCATCATCTTGGTCCCTCTCATCTACATCCAAAACCAAGGCACCATCTAGGAAATTGTCAACATGAGAGTTGACCACTTTCCCATCCATTTCAATTTCTGTTTTGGAAGATGGCCTGTCCCCTTCATGTTCAATTATCATTCCCCTCTGCTTGCCAGCCCTGTACCGCTTGTAGACATATTTGTAAAAGAGAAGCCGCCTGTCTGCTACCCAAGCAAACACAACACAGATGGGAAAGAAGAAGAAAGTAAGCAATCCTTCCCAGACCTCGACAACACCAGGAGAGATGACAGACAGAATTATATAGAGCCAAGTATAGGCAAAGATGCTCCAGGCCGCTGTCACAAAGAACACACGCAAGTGCTTAATCTTCCTTGTCTCTCCATCAGGGACCACATAAACACAAAGTGCAATGATGATGAACATGTTGAAGGCAGCACTTCCCACAATGGTGCTGGGACCAAGGTCTCCTGCAGTGAAGTTATGGCCACACACTTCAATAACTGATAGTAGAATTTCTGGAGCAGAAGATCCCAGTGCCATCAAAGTCAGGTTTGACACGGTCTCATTCCAGATCCTTACTGTAGTCTTTGTGGTCTCTCCATTGGGTTTCTTTATGGTTATTTCCTTCTCTTGAGATGTGATGACTTCTATAGAGGACATGAACCGGTCAGCGATGATAGAAACTCCAAGAAACATGTAGACCATGGCCACAAAATACACAGTTGCTCTAGCAATTTTATCCCCAAAAGATGGGTCTTGGGGTTCCCAAATGGGCAGAATCACCCCTTTCTTGCAGTAATATGAGCCAGTACATTCAGTGGTTTCATTTCCTCCTGTTTCTGGTTCTGACTCTGCAGTTATATGGTCAACATGGGAAAACAATAGAGCCACCATAGCTACCAGACGAAATCCCATAGAAACAGTTGGTGAAAGACTTAATCGAGGCATGTTTTATGAAGAGACTTCCAAATGTCCCAACCTAACAGTTAAGGAAGGGGGAGGATGGAAAAAAGAAATCACATAGTTACTACCATATCACCATTAATAACTTGTTTGTATTACTGTATATTTAGCTATCACAAAATCCCTGGGAAATCATTATTCTAGGAATACGCCAGTGATTCAACAATCTTTTGAAAAATTTACAATTCAATCTTTCTTTGAAGTCCCACTCACTGAGCAAGACACAATTGACACTGGAAATGACAAGTCCCATTACAATTCAGCTCTCTTGAACATGGGCTGGTACCTACTAATATCCAACAGTAAACAAAAAGCAAAACTTCTGAAGCATTAAGTGATTTCTTCCTTGTTACTCAAGAGGATTTTCTTTTTCATTTGAGTTAGTACATTATATTTGGAAAATATTTCATTGACAAAACCACCTTAGTAAAATTCACATCTTGAAACTCAGACTCTGAAAAAAACATCCTCCAAATACAAGGCAAGTTGATTATCTTAAATACTGGAGTACACTTTTATTGTGTTTTATAAAATCACATCATCCCACTGCTCCACGCTTCCTTGGAAACAGAAAGATCTTCAATCAAAACTCAAGAGCATTTGTTCTTGTGACAGAAAACATTGCACTGAAAATGCAGTATTCCCACACTTTAGGTACTGTCTTTAAAAGCACATTTTCACTAGGGCACCCTCCCCCCAATTTCAGCAAGCCTGGTCTCCTGATAGATTGTCAGCTGATCACATGGCACTTCAAGCACAGCTCTTCACATCTGGATACACAGCCTGCTTTAGAAGCTGCAGGCATTGTGTAAAAGAAACAAGAATAACCAGGCTTGGGCTGAGCTGTATGGAAGAGCCTAGAAGGCTGTGAATCAGCCATAAAACATTCCTTCTCAGTGTAAATGTCATACTTTCCATGGTCATCCCGAAACACACATTAGTCCTATAGTGGGCTCAAGTGACCAAAAGATGCAGGAATAATGATTCCATCTAAATTAGCTCATGTAGCATAACAACTGTGGCCACAAGGTATACATATGATGACAAGAGCTCTTGGAAGCCAAGAACATGGCAACAAAGTCACTGAAAAACACAAAAAAATGGTAAAAGTGAAGTGGGCCACCAAGGTCTTAAATTCACCCACTGTCTCAAGCAATCTGCAGCTGAAAACTTGTATTGCCTCTACCTCCAAGGCCTGGGATTTTGGGTAAATGCAAGAGAAGGCCTATAACACTCATCCGGAATGCCTCAGGGAAGGCAATTATGGCATCAATAAAGAATAGATAGGAAAGAAGTCCTAGTCAGAACTCTGTATTACCTGTGGAAAGTTAAACCAAAGTCAGATGTCCTTATTGTTACAATTCAGCTGTAAGCCACTGTGCTTTTGCATGTTTTTTGACCCATGTCTGTTAGGGGTGACTGGCACAGAAAAACAAAGCAAGGCCCAAGAGGATCCCTCTCCCTTGTACACAGTGGCAGATCTCTTGGATCCTACCATTGCCAGGAGTCCCTTCCAGCTCATAATTGATGAGAGATGACTTTTTTTTAACATTCCTCCCACACTAAAGAAGACAAGGTTGTGACATTAGATATCCAATTTAAACAAAAGGCTGATAAATAGAAACATGTATATTCAAAGCATGCAACAGTTCCTAGTCAGTTTGTCTACCTGTTGAGTCATTGCAGATCTTGTGTGAATTGGGAATCTTTACCTACAATGATGTGATATACAACCCGGTAGCTAGAAGAGTACAAAATCTAGTTCCAACTTGTGGATCTACTGAGGCCATAAACATTTGTGTTTTTACTATGAATCTCTCAGTCACTTTTTCCTCTTTTGTCCTGAGGGTTCACCAGTGGTTAAAACACAAATTCTGTCTCCATTAATTTATTTTCTCATGCATAAGTAACAAGTAAATAAATATAAATATTGGCTATTAAAATGTGTTATAGTGGCACAGAAAAGAATCAATCTAAGGACAGACTATTATGTATTGATGTGTGTGCACAAAAGGCATGCCTGATTTTATATTAGGTGCTTGAAAATGAGACAATATTTGAACAAAATCCAAAGGGAAGGAAGAAATCAAACCTTGTAGATACCTACATGAGGATTCCCAAAGGTAAAGTTCATCATCATCATCATAATAATAATGATAATGATAATAATACTTGGCTCAGTGTGTCCAGAACCAGAGAGACACTATTGTGTTGAAAGCAGTGAATGAGAAAGATAGGACTCTGGAGTATGGAGGCATTGGCCTTGATAGGATGGAAACAGATCCTCTGGAAGGGGCAGCTGATTGAAATGTGCTATCACATGTTTTTTTTCATATAGGTTCCTCAGCTGGATCCCTTGTGTATTGAGTTGATGTGAAGCCTAGACTATAATAAGATCTGAGTTTTGAAGGAGCTCAAAGTCTGGCAAGTATACAAATTAAAGATCAGACAGCTAACATTTAGAAAGGAGAGCCTTTTTAGTGTTAAGATGTTCTATGCAAAACGTCTTGAGAGCCTAAAAATATAAGAAAGATTAACTAGAAGAGCCAAGACTGTTAACTGTCTCTAAGTCTGATATACTAACAGCTCTCTCCAAATTCCTGTCAAACCTACCACTCCACTTTCCATGCTTCAAGTCAGTATGAACTTCTACAAAGAAGATATTTTCAACCATCTTAAAATTCCTCATTGGTTTTCTCTTCCTTATTTCCCTGTAGTCAATGACTAAACACCTTGGGTCTACTGAAGACCTTTTAAAATCTGGCTTATCTCTGAGATATTAGAGACTAGCCACTTTTTTTCCTACTGAGCCTCATAATTTTAAAAGCACATTAGCAACTCATAGTCAACTTCCTGAGACAAAGACATTCCATATATAAACACTGCTGTAGATATCATACCAAGCTATTTATATGTATCAATTTTATTGAATATTTATAAGAACCACTTCTGTGTTATACCCTTCTAGTGTTAAGGTTTCCATGACAACTTAGACAACTATCACCTCTCTGGAACTTTTGGGAATGGTGATAATAACTCTGAGTTAAAATGGGATAAATGACTCTTAGACAGGTTAATTCCTTATGGAAAATGTAACTCTATATTCAAAATGGGATAACTGAGGTATAAACAGGATAGCACTTACTGAAAGTCACACATACTGAACTCTTGAATGAAGATTAACTCCTGGGATGGTGCAGAGAGTAATATCATTATCTTCTCCTTGATGGTAGGTAAAGCAATATTTGACAACAGCTCTAATTCTGCTTAAACTAGCCCTTCATAAAGTCCCTTTGAGTAAGGAAGACTGAGTTAGCACCAGTCTCCTGGAAGGCTCCCAGCAGCCTGAATTTTTCTCTTGTGGATTAGACACTGAAGCAGACAAGCATCAACGACAGCACAAGAGCTGGTATGTTCCTAGAGACAGCTGCCCTGCACGGCCTAGCCTTTAGCAATTGCCTGGCAACCACTTCCTGTGTACACTGTCAGGGCAATCTTAGGTCTGCCAACAAAGAGCTCTGTCCTCCATCCCCGCTGTAGCCCATATCTGACACTGTTCTTAGCCAGAAGGCTAACGGGTGTAGAAAGGCAGGTGGATCTGGACAAATCCATCACCATGATCCATATAAGCAGAAAGAGAAGAGGGGCAGCAAGGGGTTTCTGGGGTGACCTAAAAACATCATAATGATTTTCAAAAGGGGACAGCACAATAATTTGTGAAATCGGTGGCTACAAAACACTGATGTAACTTATTGGCAATGGTGCTGCTGTAAAGAACTCTCTGGACTTCAGCTTCTGTCTCCATTAAATTAAAAACAAATGCAAATACTCATTAGGATATGAATAGGTCTTATATACAAGGCAGTTCTTTCTTGCTTCATTGTCTCCCTTTGCCCAGGGTCTTTTTCTTCATCATTTAGCTAGTTCAATTTCACCTTCCTTATATACCCATTGAGCATATTTCCATAAAACTTGAGCAGGGAGATCATCTGAGACCACAGAAAATCAAATATAAATCTTCTTTCCTTCTAGGCTTTGTTGTACTCTTGTCCAACCTACTTAATACTAGCACAGTGTAGGTTGATTATGATCGATTTGGATCAACTATAACCAAGAATCTCTTAGAAACATCCATTACACCATCCATAACTATTCTTAGTATTATGTCAAGAGTTCCTGGATTATATTCTACATACTGTCTATTTTAAATTAAAATAAAACACCAGTATCACATACAGGGTACATAGCTGATAAAAAAAATCAACCAGGTGCAGGTGAGCCTGTCACTGACATAAAAGGGGAAGAGTTACAGGAGTAAGGAACAGAAACACAAGCAAATGGATGTTCATCAAACCACCAGTGTGAAGAGTCTCCACTGCAAACATCAGTAGAGTGCTTCTTCCCTTTGGAGGCTGCAGTCAGTTTTGACTGTCAAAGAGTACCTGACTCAGAGAAAGGAAATATGCTTGCATTCCCACCAGCCCAGTTTACTAGATGGCCTAATCACATTCTGTTGATTGGCAGTTGGTGTTATTCCAAGGAACTCCCTAACTTGCTTTCCTAGGGACTTTGAATTCCCTTCCATGTCATTCTTGCTGACTGAACTCTTCAAAACTAAACAATTAATCTATGGTTAAGCACTTGTAATGAACATCCGAGATCCTATAAACAGAGAGGACAGCAAAGGATGAAAGCTCTTTGCATCTAACCACTCCATCTAGGATGATAATTACAGCATCTGGTTCCCAACTATAGTCTTTCAGACCACAGGCAGACTTGAGGAGAGGACTCATTTACCCCAGTTACTCCATATTTAACACCATTGTGATACCTACACACACACACACACACACACACACACACACACACACACCTATCAAATAGAGCAAACAGTGTTTCATCTCTGCTGATGGATAATGGATAAATTAGAAAGTATTTTTTAAGGAGGCAGGCTGTGAGAGACCAGATGAAGGGCTCATGACCTTCTCTTTCAATTAATAAAACTGGAGTCAGGAT